AGAAAGAGGAGGGGGGAGAGAGTAATTGAACATAAGTAAACAAAAGGAAGAAGGGAGGTTGAAAGAAACGCGAACGTTTGATATTGTACTGCTGTTTATTCATTCACACAATATATACCCATGCGATTGAATAGATTCTAAAGATGCGTTCCACTTAATACTTGCAAAGCTTATGAAATCATTTTATCTTTGTTATTTATCAAATATTATGAACAAGGACAAATAATGCTCGCAAGCATTGCGAGTATCAAATAGAACGCACCTTTAGAGTGCAAGGATAAATGATGCTTTGAAACACAATAAACGCAAAAAGGAACATATCCTTTAATTATCATAATATTTTTGTTATCGGCAGTGCTCATGTTTTTTATTATTAATGGCCTTTCTTTTTTATTAAAAAAGGGGGACTCTCTCTTCATTTTGTACATTCACTTTAGGAAGGATCATGGTTTTCTGTTATTAAGGGTCGGTTGTTCCACCTTTTGGTAAATTTTATCTATTAAGTAAATCTGGCAATCCGCGCATGATTAGGTAATCTTACTACTTACCCAACAGGTAAAATTTACTAAAATATGGAACAACTTAAATATTACAAAGGAGGAAGGAGAGGATCAAAAATTCACAATTTTAACGTACGTATTTCTTAAATGATTCCTTATGTAAAAAATGACTGTGCTGTTCAAATATATCTTTCAAAAATATAATTTTAATTTAAAGAGAACCATTAAATATGTAGAATGTTTAAAATTGCATTTCTCTTATTAAGAAGCCAATCATAAACAAAAATATAATTATCAAAGTGCTCATACAGAATGTATCTCTTCCATGTAACTTAATGTTAACATTTCTTATGTAGTGTATTATAGAATATATAATTTTATAATAACACTTTTATATATAAAAAAGCTAATTAAAATTAAATAATTACCAAATGGGTTATACATGGGTTCCTTGCATTTATTTTTGGGGTAAATAATGGATGTTATAAGTCTTCGTCCAAATTTTTTTTCATATTGTGCACTCACAGCTAGAGACGCAACAAATGAACAATCAGAAACTACCTAAAATACAAAAAATCAATTAAATATTATTCAAGTGCTATAGAGTCATTAGTCTCTAAGTTGCATTGTCTCTAAATTTGATAAACTAATAATATAAGATGTTTTTAATATGTTATACATTACTAACAGTCTGTTTTATGCTAAAATAATCAACATGATGACCAATGACCATCTTAGGATCAGAATATAATTCTTCTGGTCGTCGCCAGCCAACGAAATCGGGCTTTTGCTTTGGTGCCAGCTCTAATAATCCGTCTTTATCAGTGAATGGAAAAGCATATTGAAATTTTTCAGCAAGATCGATATTCATAAATGGTACAAATTCGTTATCATTTATATGAGAGCCATATAACAGCACTTTCTTTTCTTCTTCAGTATAATTAGTACTACCACCAGTTACTTTGAGATGTCCACTGCTTCCCCGGTGAAATGAGGATCTAGCATCTTTTGCTGAAATTTATTCAACTAATAAATACATTACAGCACCTTATTTTCTGCTTTTATATATATTTTTTTTACCTGGAGCAGCTGATGGCGCATTCACTGGTTGTTGTGATTGTATTGACTGTTCAGTATCTGGAAAACTGCTTTCTGGTACAGATGGTAATTTAGCAAGACTTTTCATTATACCATCTGCAGTAATTTTGATTCCTTTCAAAGATTCTGCCCGTTCAACAGCAACTCTAACAAGACTTGTTAACTTTGCTTTTACTTCTGTGTCAGCAGTTTTCTGTACAATATATCATATAGATTAAATTAAACAAATTTAACAAAAGTGTAATATGTTATTATACTGGACGTTTCAGACCACCTGTACATTCCTTTTATTTTCGCAAGATAAGGTCCAATCGTAAAAGTGTTCAGACAAAAATTGTAGGGTTTAAAGAGATCTATTTAGTGATCTTTTCAGTTTAGATGGCGTTGTCAAGGTCAGGTCAAGGTCACATTAATTTTTTTTTTAATGGATTACTTACGATTGGATCTTATTCTGCGAAGATAAAAGGGGTGATCTGAAATACTCATTTAATAGTAAGAATTGTATTAGATGAATAACAAAGAATATAAATATCACTTAAAGTTGCACAGCAAAATAATTTAATTACAAAAACGACTAAATAAACAAGCATACAATAATGTTTATTAATTATTGTTTAATTTTAGGATAACATCAATAATCTATAGACGTTTCAACCGAAACCATTAAGATGGAGATGGTTTACCATCACCATCAGATAAAATTACATTGGAATATTTGACATGGAATTGTTTTATGCATCAGTATTTTGTGTTAAGTAGAACAGACTCATTTAATTTATATTGAAGAAAACTTTGTGAGTCAAAACGTCTATAGATTATAGATATGTTACCCTAAGATTAAACAATAATTAATAAATATCATTGTATGCTCGTTTATTTGATCATTTTTGTAATTAAATTGTATTAGATTGTTGTATAATTTCTGTCGTATTTTCGAATACAGTTTAAATCACCATTGCAAAGTTTATTTATAGACATATTCAATAAAACAAAGTTTTAGCTTTAAAAATCTGTTTTTTAAATGCAGTATAATAATTTTTAAAGAAATAATGAGCAATCAAAGTCAAAATGCTTCTTTTTTTTAATCAGTAATAACTCAGCAATAAAAAATCTTAAAATAATTACAAAAAATAATTTTGAAAGGAAGGCTTCAAACTTTCATGTTAGAAAGTCCAAAATTTTTGCAAATTTTTTTGAGCACGTGAAAAGCCCACAAAGTTAAAAAAAATTTCCTATTTATTCAGCTCATAGTTTTCTACATATAAAAATTATCAAAGTCACAGATACTCAAAAACCATAATAACTCTTCAAAAGCAGAGATTTTAAACTTTAAAACTATTTTTTAAATTTAAATTTCGTTCAGTTTTAACATATTCAAGACGGATGTACTTTCTGTTTGGTGGAGGTGTTCAGCGGATGTTTAACCATACAGAAAATAAACAGAAGATAATACGTTAAACGCGGTAGAGATGTTGTTTCACTTTTTTTGTAAACTATCGAGAGGAAAGATAAGCGGATGGAGAATGATAAATAAAGTCGTAACTTTTTGTAATACATATTATATAAAGACCTCATTTATGTTTAGAAAGTTTCAATAAAATACACTAAGAAAGTCTATTTTTTATGTCGTAATTACAGTTTTGTAAGCATATTTTTTATGTTATATAAATTAAGTCTATTTTTTAGATTTGATACAGTCGATCTACAGGCTCTGACGCTGGCTAAACGGAAAGTTTGGTGCCGGTCTCTGACCAATACCATCTCGAATGTATTAACAAAGTTACAACTGCTATTAATGGTAATACAAAAATACGATAGAAATTATGCAATAACCTTATACTTACTGCACTAAGACCAAATTCAGCAGCATCAGTATATAACTTTATCGCAATGTCTTTTAAACCTGCTTCATCCGCGTCTAATGCTTGATTCATGAGAAATTTACATTTCTTTAATTCAGACTGGTGTAAAGGTTCTGGCTTATGACAATTTTGTTCCTCTTCGCGAACTAAAAGTTTCAAAAATATTTTTTTGTTAAAAATTTATAATTATGTTTATAGAAAATTTCATGATGCACACTTACCAAGACGTTGTAGCAATGAAATTCTCTCACAATACTCTGCAAGCTTATCTTCATACATGCCACCTGAATGTAATTTAGTAAGAAGTTTAATAGCAATGTCATAATAATATAGGGCCTGTTGATATTGACCATTACTATCAAACTGCACTGCTCTACGAGCAGCAAGTCGTGCATCATCTAAGGTTTGCGCCATTTTAATGAACAACAAAAAAAATCCAGAATCCAGATTTATTCAACGGTAAATTGTTTTGTTCTTCTTTAAACTTGTTTAAACTTATGAATAGAGATTTTTGACCCATTATAAAGGGTTATATGCACAGTATCATGCGATAATTGCATAGTTTAATATGTACAAACTCATAATAAAAAATATATCAATCGACGCGTTTTTTCGTGAAATGAACGAATCTGACAAAAAAAAGTGTCTACTCCGAGTGAATCAAGATATTAATCGTTGAAGTTAACGACTATCGAGGTTATCAAATATATTACTTTGGCTACGTTCAGCATTTTCAACAGACAACAGTCTGGATCCTCATACGGATAATATCGCTTTGACACTGAACGCTGATTGGTGAAAAACGGATGGATAAATTTTACCCTCACAACCAAACCTTTTTACCAATCAGCGCTCTGTGTCAAAGCGCTGTTGTCTATATGAAGATACGGGCTTATTATTCATCCAATAGGTCTGTTTTCTGTGACTGAACTAGTGTACACTTTTGGAACTTAAAGTGAGATAGATATACGTTTTGTAGCGGATTGCTACATATAATGAATGTAATTGATGGTACACGGATTCACAAGTAATAATGTTCGTTCATTAGCACATACAATGTCTAATCGCGACAATGTAATATAACGATGTCGTGTAGAAGGACGTGTTAAAGACTAAATAATGATGAGAATGTATCTAGATGGGCAATTGAGTATAGTGTTCGTGAGAGCGCGTCATCTGATCGCGAAGTATGTCTAAATGAGTATAAGGCATGAAGTATAACTAAGAGAGTGTGAGAATGTATATGTGTGTATATAGAAGTGCTCCACAATTTGGCGCTGAAAAGAGAGAAAGTGCAGATGCTGAGTGTAAAAAGTGTAAGCAAGTCGAATAAACCTAATTATAACCTTTGCCGATTCGTTTGCTACACATGTATGTGTATTATACATACATATACGTAATTACAGTTTTTCATACATTTCATATGCACTATGCGAGCACATACGATATTTCAAGAATCCAGGTTCAGGTTAGGAAATCTGTCACAGCCACTGATTCTGAATTAGCTCTAACCCTAGTTCTACAATGAGTACAGGTATCGGTAATCTACAATCAGTGAAGAAGCGAGTTTAAAGAATAGTCGTCGGTCAGTTGACCAACAGCTGACTTCTAAGCACTTCTAAAGTCTAAAGGCAAAAATGGACATTGGAGTTGGTGCGCTGGTATAAGTTACATGAAAAAAACCGGGAAGATTAGAGATGACCGCTCTTAGGTTTCTTTCCGATTAAAGCAAAGCAAGATGCACGAGAGGATACGGACAATTTAATGTGATATATAAATCTCGATTGAGTAATTTTTTTCAAATAAACAGTAACTGGAAATTGATGCAAGTCAAATGTATGTGACGTTATAGGTTAATTTTTCAATCGAGAAGTGATTGTATGTCCCATTATGCCGGCTTGATTTTTGACATGTAAGATTATATAGATAATACGTAAAGGAGTAACAGTTTCGAATTAATATTTATAAGGTCCAATTTTTCATTATCTGGTTAATATATCTTAGCCTGATATTTCACCCAATAGGCTTCACTCATGACATCTCATAGATTACTTTCCATTTAGTGACAAAATTTGACACAAACATTCTTCTATCTTTCTTGACATTCAAAAAGTAATAAAGACAGGATGATACTTGTGTTGATTTGTGTCAATTTGCATCATCAAATGGAAAGCCTCCATTAATAAAGCCTATTAGATAAAATATCAGATTAAACCACAAATTAATAAGAAAATGAAAAACTAAGCCATAATAAAAATAACCATTATGAAGTAAATTAGTATTAATTTTCTCAGTGACCTAGTTTCCACCAAGGGTTTAAACCAGATCAGAATGTAAGAACCAACCAACTGCAGTCGAGTATTCTCCTATTAGTCGAATGACAGAGGAATGCTCGATTGTAGTTGGTTGGTTCTTACATTCTGATTCGGTTTAAACGCTTGGTAGAAACTAGGCCACTATCTATTTATTTTTTTGTAATGAAAAAATTTTTATAAAGACTTTTCTTTTTCACTTAATAACTGTATAATAAAACTGTTGATTAATTACAGGAAATGTAGAGAAAGCAGAGGAACAATTCTTTCATTTCTATACAGTATTAAGTACAACATATGATAAATAATAATGAACAAAGAAATGCCGTTAAGTGTGGAATGGATACCACAAAATACATATATGCACAATTCTTTCGATCACTTGCTGCCGGAAGATAGAAATCAGGACTTCTTAATCATAAAGCAAGAAGCAGAGTTTTTTCAAAGTACTCTGAATTCACAGCAATCTGCGCAAAACAAAATCATGCATCTGCAAGTTTTGTCTAAAGAGAATAAGGAAATCAAACAACAGAATAGTTATTTAGATTCAACAGTAAGTTTTAATTTTACTTTACCCAATAAATAAATTATAACATTTAAATCTTTCTGTATGACTTATCTTATATCTAATTTATAAGTACATGCAATAAAATTATTATTATTATTATTATTAAATACTACAATAGTATTGAGATTAGACATTTAATTTAAGAATAGATATTATTATCTTACATGATATATAATTTAAAATATTTTATGTACTAAAAATCTAATTAAAACTATTCTATATATTTTGTACTGTTTTCAGCCCTGTCAAATAGATTCTTTAAATCAACTATCTAAAAGATTGAGTGATGATTCAGAGAAATTGTATAATAAAGGTCGCATTGATGTAATAGAGATGACAGTTGATTCAACATTGAATTATAAATATTTTTTCGTTTATGAAGATCAATTTTCCAAATTTGTTGTATTAAAAGCTCTCTGTAGCAATACAGCTAAAGAAGTCGCGGCGAATCTGTTAGATGTATTGGGGATCATAGGGCCACCACAAGTATTACAGAGCGGCAATGGACGTATATTTGCTGAACAAGTTGTATGTGAACTACGTTCGATGTGGAATGATTTATTCATATTGCATGGGGACACGTCTAAGTGCGAAGTTAGCTACAGGGATTTTAAGAGCTCGCTTGAATCTTGGATGAAAAAAAATCCAACTAGAACCTGGTGCGAGGGACTGAACTTCATACAGATTGTTCATAACACTACGTATCGCTATCAGAACGGCAGAGTTCCATATGACGTATTGTTTAGACAAAATGCGCGCAAGAATTTTCAAGGTATAGAAAAAGATACGGAAAATCTGACAACAGAAGAAGAATGGATTAAACATTTGTCGAATAAGATGGATGGAGATGAGGCTGCAATGATGGAAGACACACAGAGTACATCAAACAATATCAATGTAATAATGCAATATAATGTACAATGTTGTATCTCAATATTATAAATGTAACATAATGATTGAAATTATTCTATTTCGAATGTTTCAGCAATACGAAGAAAACGAAAATATACGAGATACACAGAGTCAAAATACACTTTCAAAAACCGACAATGCAAATATTCTTAGTTGCGTTATCGTGAAGAATGATGATCTAAATAATATACACACGATGGATTCAACATCTACAGATAAAATAGTCGTGAAGAATGAATCAAAAGACAACGAAGATACTCAATCCCTCAAATGCGAGTACTGTCAAAAGCAATACATGAAAATAGGGCATTTGAAAAATCACATAAGAATTCACAAAGCGAAACAGGTTCTCCATTGTAAGCTGTGCAATAAAACGTTTAGCGTTCTGAGATTGTTCGAGAAGCATATGAAGCAATCACATGGAAAAGATAAAGCTGATGAAGAAAGAGAGATACCAGTCAGAAAAACAAGAAACATTGCTAATACAAGATCTATGATTCAACTAACACAAGAAACATCCGATTTCAAAATAATGAATGAAAATTGTGATTTGTCGCTTGACACGAGAGAATCCTTTGGCAAAAACAATAAGAGCTCCAACCAAACCGGCAGACGGAAACTGCCCGCGGAGAATCGTGTATCAAAGACACAACCTCTAAAGTGTACGTTTTGTAAGCAAAAATTCAGTTTTCCAAGCGTGCTAGAAAGACATATGCGATCTCACACAAATGAACGACCGTATGAGTGCGAAGTATGCAAAAAGAGTTTTAAGCAATTGGGTCATCTCAGTCAACACTCACTGACCCATCATGACTATCGTTCATTCCAGTGCACAGTATGTAGCATAAAGTTTGACTCGCTGGATTTGCTGAAGCAACATACACCCTCGCATAAAGGCGACGCCACGACAACAACATCAAAGATACGCGACGTCTATCGTCTGTTTGAATGTGATATCTGCAAAAAGGTATTCACAATGAAGAGCGTGCTAGAGCGACACATATTCACACACACGCAGGAACGTCATTATGACTGTAAGATATGCGGCAAGCGATTCAAGCAAGCTGGTCATGTCAAGTCACACATGTTGGTGCACACTGGAGAGCGTCGTTTTCAGTGCACCATATGTTCAAAACGTTTCAGTCTGTCGAACTCGTTGAAGAAGCACATGTATGTGCACAATGGTGAAAAGCCGTATCAGTGCGATGTTTGCGGTGCACGTTTCCTTGAGAAGCGCAACCTTAACGGCCATTTGCTGACGCACACCAACGAGCGTCCGTACTGCTGCAAGATCTGTGGTAAACGATACACTCTGGCAGACACTTTGCGTCGTCACGTCAGTGCCGCGCATGAAGATGGTCGTACATATCAGTGCGAGATTTGTGCCAAGATGTTCAAGCAATTGGCACATCTGTCGGTGCACAAAAAGGTACATAACGACGAACGACCCTTTCAATGTCATTTATGCGAAAAAAATTTCAAGCATAAGAATGTACTCAAGTCGCACCTGGCGATCCATGCGAATGTACGACCATTTGAGTGTGACGTGTGCAAGGCGACATTTGTCAGGAAGACGAATCTGCAAACGCACATCTCGTCAGCGCACATGAACGAGCGTCCGTATACCTGCACCATCTGCGGCAAGCGCTTCAAACAGATTAGTCATCTAAACGGCCACGTGGTAGTGCATAGCAATTTGATGCCTTACAAGTGCGATTACTGTGATCGCCGGTGTAATCGATTAGATAATTTGAAAAAGCATATGCGCCTCCATATGAAAAATAAGGAATAAAAGAAATATGACTCTTGGCGAATTAATATCTTGTTTTTTGAGACAAGATATTAATACATCTGAACGGAATAGCGCTAATAAAAAAATTACTAACTACAGCAATCGGCATGGATGAATATTATTGCGTCAGATTTTTTAAATGTATAACTCAATCTGTCTTTCTTCTGAATGACTGATATATATGTAGATACTAATATTAAATACGAAACAGTATAAGTATAATTATTTTTGTTTTGCCAAATTACTAATTCTATATAAATTCCTGATAAAGCGAAACAGGTTCTTCATTGCAAGCTGTGCAATAAAACATTTAGCGTTCTGAGAAACATATGAATCACATGGAAAAGATAAGGCTGATGAAGAAAGAAAGATATCAGTCAGAAGAAGAAGAAACATTGCTAACACAAGATAAAGTTATATACAAGGTATATTAGATCACCCGTACGACCCTTTTTTCTCAGAAATGGATAGTGACTGGAAATTGCGGAAAAAGAAGGTTGTTAAATAGAGGCCGATTTTTTAAATAAAAAGTTCGCAATAGGGAACACATTGAAAATTGAACATAAACATTATATATTTGAACAATTCAATATTCTTACTTACTTTTCAAAGTGTTCCTCAAGCCACAAACTTTAATAATTTTATCATATTCAGGAGATCAAAATCTATAAAAAATCAGCCTCTTTTCAACATCCTCCTTTTTTCCGCAATTTCCGACCACTATTTTTTTATTAACATTATCGAATTTAGGAAGTCAAAACAAAGAACAAAATCGCTATTTCTTTTACTTACATCTTTATGGACAAAAATCGGTCTCTTTTTAATATATCCTCCTTTTTATTATCAATCTATCTAAAACACTTAATGGCGGCATTTTGGTTTTTTTGAAAATTATATTGAAAATAGGATAAACCTGAATCAAATATGAAATTTTTAATAAAGACATAGATCGAGTAGACTATCGTATGGATTTTCCAAAAATAAATAATTTTTTAACTTTTTTTTATCATTCATATAATTTACGAGAAAAATAAGGAAATGTTATAGATTTCGAGTCACCCATTTATTCACTAAACATCAAAAGTTTTATCAGGGATTTAAATTAAAATTTTTAAGCTCAAATCCTATATAATGAATTTAGATGGTATTTAAGTTTTTAGAAATGAAGTTAGAAATTAGAAAAACTAATTTATATAATAGCACATTTAATTTACTTTAAATTTTTTATTTAAACTCAGATGAGTAAGATTAAATATGTCTGTTGAAATAAAACATTCTTAAATAAAAAAGTTTTTAAAATCTTTTATTGTTAACAAAAAATATCATTTCTTATTAATTCTTGTCTAAAAGATAGGCTTAATTTGGTAATGAAAATTTTTTCGTCAACTTCTGATTATTATCTATTTCCGAAAAAAAAGCATAGTACGAATGACCTGAATATACCTTTTGTAAATAAGATCTCAGAGATAATTGAACGATTGCATTAATTACGGATAAATCATAGAATATTGTACATAATATTTTCTCTTTTACATATTTGTTGCTCTTCCAATCTGATCCAAATATCACAAGAGATATTTATATCATAATTTATATTTGAATATCGTTTTATTTTAATTATATTTATATGTAATTATTGCAATTTTCTATGCGTAGAGAATATAAGTATTTCTGTATAGTATAAGTATTTTAATATTTTTTAAGCATTTTTTTATGTGTAATATATTGCGCAATATATAAATATAACATTTTTTTTCTGTGCAGATTATAGAATGCTGATTGATTCCTAGCAATAAGTTTTTAAATTTTATACTTATTGTAAGTAAATTTTTATGATGTAAACTATTTTTTACATATTGCATGTATTTATACAGACAAATATTTATAAGTCATCTTTTTCTAAATAAGTCAATAAACTTACATCATAATCATTATATAAAAACATTTTTGTGCAAAGAAAATATTTTCAATTGATATATTATCACGTAAGATTTATATCAAAGCTATTGCTCAATAAATTATTTAAAAATGTCAAAACTTTAAAAAACTTTGTCTTAACTTTCCATTTAAAAAAATACACACACACACACATATATATATATATATATATATATATATATATAAAACTGAATGAATCTTATTGAATCTTATTTATAATAATTATGGTATATAAATATTTAATTTAGATACGATATGTCTTATCGGAGGAAAAACATCGCGCACAAATAGCGAGACAATCGATGATGCTTTTTGTACACGTATGCATATTTCGCGGTCAATTGTGTGGCATTTGCGCGTTTAACGTTTCATCTGGGAGGGAGGGAGCTAGGACAGGTTGGGGAACGGAAAGTACGAGAAAAGGTTAGGATTCAGAAACATTCCTCGCATTGATTGTAGCAATGGGGTATAAGAGAAGGTTAGGATTCGGGACGTTCCTCACCGTGTTGATCGTGCTGGCAGCGATCTATTATCGTAATACCGACGACATCCTACAAAAACGATTGCTGATCCTGTTACATGGCCTCGAGACACTTGAAAACAAGTATGTCATCACCAGAAGACCAAAAGTCGCCATAGGTTATGGCGTGTGCACCGATGTCTTCATTGATGCGAAACATCTGCTAAGATATTCGGATGAAATCGGTCGACCTGAACACTTCGACGAGATCAACACCGAGCTCGAACTACTCAAAAGCTTCGCTTATTATTTT